AAGTAATTCATGTAGAATTCATAATGTTCACATGGAAAACCTTAGATAATCTGATGAGGATTTCACAGAGACTGAAGTTCTCATCATCTTCATTCCAACAGCCATTATATGCAGAATTAACATGTAGAAGTATCTTTACAATTATATTCTCCATATTATCTTTGGATTTCTTTCTCAGAACTTCATGAGTTGATGTATATCCTCATTTCTTATATAAATCTAAAATTTAAAGTTATCTCAATTTTATTTCTGTTCATGGCAATCATGGTGAATGGAAGATGATCTTGATATCATGAAACATGTCACTTTGATTCTCTGAACATTCAATCTAATTCAAGTGACAGAACTTTTTTTATACGTTACCACCCATTTCCCTTTTGTAAGGGACGAAAATCTCTCCGATATCAACTGTTTATCTCCATGAAGGTTCAAAGGTGATGATTGAGGAAATAAGATACTCGATAGTAAAAAATTTGTCACCAATTTTTCTCTCAGCCAACTTGCCTTAAGTAACAAAGGGGGGGAAATTTTCTGTCTTCATGGTGCTGGAAAACGACTCAGAAGTTCAAGAAAAATTTACTATCTACCATCGAAGTACTGATAAAATTCTGATCTTTGGATAATGAAAATATTGTAAAACTCACATTTTATTCTGATCTCACATGCATGAAGCAATTTATCCTTTCTTGATTTCGTTTATGCCTCATGAGCTTATATCTGAATCTACTTTTTTTGCATATTTATTATTTGAATTATTTCCACCTTCTAAGTGATTATAACCCTGACAACTGAACATGAACGTCATGAAACTGATAATGTAATACTTATGAGAATACTTGGTTTGCCTCAAGGTTATAGTGTGATGTTTACTTCTAGATTCCAATGAATTCATTAGTCGAAACGATATCATGATAATATTCAATACAACTAAACAAGAATTTGATTATTGCATTTATTTGAATGAGTACATACAAATGTAAGCCATGAGATATCAGAATACACCTTATATGATACATTATTCTGTTTCTGTAATAGGCAATCATATTGACTGAATTGGACGTTACCAATTGTGACTTCTTACCAAATTACTGTGTTATTATTAATGAGTGACCTTCGTATCTATTTGTATACCTAAAACTACCTATTGGTTTTCAATAAAAACCATTTCTTTTGAAAACATTCAGACCAGTCGAGTTCTATTAATATTAATAATAATATTTGTATATCTAAAGTTCTGAGCCAAATACTTCTCAATAAAAGGTACTATTCATAATAAATTTGTATCTTATTCATCATTTGTTATCAATATAATTTACCGCTGATTCAATGAATCAACAACACATCAGATTTTCTTATTGCATTAAGTTGAGAATAATTAACTTGATTCAACTCGAACTATTAATTTATTACATCATTCAACCATTGACTGCATTACTATTCAATAAGCTTTCTGTGAAAAGTGATTAACTCGTTCGGTTTTGAGTATTATACAGATACATATCGGGACGAAGAGACTACGTATAAAAAGTTTTTAGGTCATCATCCGATGTTGTTGCAAGTGGTCTCTCACAGGTTTCTGTCTCACTTGGTTGAGGACTGGTTAGGCTTCAACCATCATCGTGATATGTTACAAAATAATTTGGAGTTTCAGAATAAAAAGTTTCAAGGTCATTGAGGTCATTTCACGATAAACCTATCTATAGGTCATTTAAAGGTTTTTTGAAAAGAAGAACGAAAAATTATCCCATCTTTGAAGTTTTCGGTGTCAATATCAGTTCAAATAACGGAGAGTTGCCAATTTGAATGAAATAAGCATTGGTTTTGCAAATTGACATAAATCGTGGTACACTGACAATGGTTTTGGATTATTCATTCAAACTTGGATCATGGAATAATTTTTTGTTCTTATTTCAAAAAACCTTCAGATGACCTCTAGATAAAATTACACTTAAATCTTGGGTTTGATGATATTCCGTCAAAAGGCAGCTGAGATACAGACTTTTCTTATAAACTTGGCTCTTGAAGTGTTTTCAGATTGAAACATGCCTATCTTCTAGTCCGCTCATCACAGACACTTCAAACTAAATCTGAGGTGTGATTTTATTTGTTCTTTCACGACGACCTTAAAATGACCTTTGAACGCTACCTTCGTTAAATGACCTCAATGACCTTGAAAATCGTATGGTCGAGCGCTTCAATTCTGTTTAGTCCTCTGGTCAAGTCTGACATTCATATGACTTTTGGTTCTGGAGATTTGCAGTGTAATAGCCGTAGTGGATAAAAACGCCTTGTATAACTCGGAGTTTAATGATGATGATGAAAATAGTTCATTACAGAGCAAGTTGTGTAATCTGAGTATCAAAAGATAATGTAAATGTTACTATTGCAATCAGCTGAATCAAAAATATCCTGTTATCAGCTATTAGTCTGATTACGAAATCAAGAGAAAATATCTGTAATTTCATCCTTCTAGTAATTACTATGAATAATTAATCATAAATATCACAAAGTCTATGAAAAGTTCAATGATTCATTGATCAGCTCATTTAATGATTGGTGATTACCTTGTCGATAATTCAGATGTGATTGAAATTTTGTGTTATTCACTGAAAAACTTAGTGATCTTGACATTGGAACCGTAGCACAAACAGTTAATTTTTCATTATTGATACAAAATGAGTCTGAATTTGTTGAAAAAAATGATCGATACTTAATTAGTGTGTAGTAAAAGTGGTTAACCATGTACGATACTCATCATCCTCACTATGATCACGATGATTTGCTCAGTTAGCTTCAATATTATCATGTAATAAACTTGTAGCAAGTGACAATCATCTTCATGGATTCACGTTGAAAACAAAATTCATTCTTTCACCACTTTCTCTTTCATTTTAATAGGATATTCTGTAGATATCATATCACTTAGCTTTGAGAGAGACAAGAAGGAAACTGATAATCAAATGCATATAAAATATCATCAATATATTCATCATGATCACCATGTAAATATCATTTTTCTTACAGATAATCTGAAAGATATTTAAGTTACCTGAGTATTATTTGGAAAGGTAAAGATGAAAAGGAAAAAAGGAAAAAGTTCTGATGGAACTTAGATCTCCAACTCAGAGCTTTTCCATGTTTGATTAATTGTAAAATATTCCCAAGTGTACTTCCTGAGAATCTGCAACAATATTTCAATAACAAAACAAATTGTCTCAGATTTGCTGAGAAACTTATCTTTGGCCATCATACACTCAGAACTTCATGATGATGACGATTATTATTATTGTTATTAAAAAAGCTTCATCCAAGTTACTTATCAACTCAATCATTAACCAGAATCATAGATTATCTTGAATAAACTGATTCATCTTACATCATGTCATGAACTTGAATTATCAGATCAATCAATATTTGAACTTTCCTATCCCTAAATGTTCATGGATTTTTCATCAAAAACAGACAAACAAAAGCTACATAGTGACTGCAAACGCTTATTTATCGTGATAATTAATCTGATTTAAATGAAATTCAAGTTTTGAAGATTCATAATTGTATTCAAAGAGGAAATTGCGTGAAATTGAGTTTTCAGAATAGTAAAAATGAAAATGTCACCTTGATTTGTATCATGATCATGATTAGTACTTGAATTTGCCTTGAAATTTTACATTAGATGAGATTTAATCTTAACTTTTGATATGAAAACTTTCAAGTTGACAACTTTTAAGACCTTCAACAATCAACTTTAATGATTAAATCTGATCAACAGTTGATTTTTGCTGAGCTCTTATAATGAAACCATGGTGATTATTTAATAAAGTTTCCATTTTCAACTTTAAATGTTAATTCACAATTGACAATGATGGATATTAATGATTGAAAACTGATAACTGTTTCTGTATTTAAAATCTGATACATGAACGAAACTGAATAAAATCAGTGAGAAAAAGAGAGAGACATTTATAACTATGAGACCAATGGTTGGAAATAATTACTTACTCTTATTACCAATAATTACCTGTTATTGAACTTAAATATTCTGGATAATTAATAAAAATGGTTCAATTAGCGAATTAATTAACAGAGAATTCATTATCATGAAGAAAAAAAACATCAAGAGAAAAAGTGATTTTCATGAGAACAGGGCAACTATTGAGCATCATATTATTCAGGGTGATGATAATGCTATTACTAATGTATTATGTATATTCAAATATAATTCAAGGTTGAATATTGATTCTAGTTCGTGAACTTTCATGATATTAGTCATGTGGAAACGATGATTTCATTAATTTCCAAGTTTCAGGCTCACAAGTTTCTCAATGTTATCATATTCATTCATCAGGTAACTCATGTATCTCACAATCCCTGAACTATCTGAGACTGAGAATTACTCTAGATACATCTCATTGTTTTTCCATGATGATTATTATTACTCATAATAAGATTATCGCTCCATAGTTGGGTATAACACTAACAGTATAGACAATGGGAATGAGCTTACAATTTATCTCTCAAGTTATCATGATTATTTTATCCTTTGGTGGGTGATATCACCTTCCACCCAGTCTATTTAATATCTGATTCTATCACACTCTAGATATCATATTCTGATGGTGATAATATTATTATCTCAATATCTCAGCATTTTTTTTTCTTCGTATCTTCGTAATGATAATATTTTCTTCTGTTGGAATAAGCTGAACTTTTTGTTTTTTATTCTGATCATTGATAATAAACGGAGATAATTTGTTGATTATCCTAACTATTAATTAGATAAAATGTTCAATTCAATAATCCTAATGGTCATCAATGTTTCCTCATAAATATATAATAATGATAATAACTCTGAATTTCCTGAGTACATGAAAACTCAACTTGTTTTCACCTAAATTTTCAAAAATTTTCATTAACCACTGAATGTTACAATTTAGTGAACAAAATGATTAACAAATTACTTCAATTGTTTTAATTGTTTCCTCTTTTTTTCACTCATTTAGATTCTTCAAGTTCAAATGAATGACTACAAATACCATTATCATTTCACAACTTTTGTAAGTATAACAACAATTAACTTTTTAATTGGTCAAGATTCATCAACACTGTTGACCAGAAATTTCATCATGTTACTTGAATAATTATCAACATTTATCATTCTGAGTGTTTCCCTGAATATCTCACAGAATTTTGTTATTAAAGTTATAAAAATTTACCTGAATGAGCTGAAACATAAACTGCAATTAACTTTCAAGATGAATTGATAGTATAAATTAAATGTCATGATAAGTTTGATTAAATTTTCTAGAATTGAAAGTAAAAGTTATTGAACTTTCCGTTCATCAGATGAATTCAGTTATGAAATCACAATTCCCATAGAGAAAATGGTTTAACAAACTCAGATATCCTAATGGAAGATCAGTTATAATCTCAAATTGCAAAGTCCAGAATGAAATGAAATTGACCTTTAGATAAAACTGATTCCTTCTTGAAATAAGATTCATGATGAAAACTAATCTAACAGGGTAATTGGATATACCTGTTGATCCTGATGTTCAGAATTATTTTAAATGTATAAAAAGATAAGTAAAGTTGGAAAAGTGAATCTTTACTTTTCAGCAACAATTATCATCAAGAAAATCATGTAAACACTGGAATTACATTCATGGTAAAAAAATTACTCAAGTTAAAAGTTTTCTTATTCTGAAACAATATTAATCATTTCCATGATAATTCTATTGAAAATTCTTAGCATTCCCTTGATGGTTCCATGGAAAATTTTCTGTTCTCTGAGTTTTTTACTTCTTTTCTTCCTTTTCCTTTATAGTTTGATAATAAGATTATGTCTATTCAGTAACATGGTAAACATATTTTTCATTCTCATGGCTCATGAACATGAATAATTTAACTGGAATAAAAGTTAAACCTAAACTTTTTCTATCCCCATGAAAGTTAATTACTATTTCCGGGTTTACCTTTATTCTTTATCAACAGGATGTGGAAATATATGATTTGGAAAATTTTAAATACAATTTTGTAAATATGACTGCCTATCGATTAATAGACTCAAATAATCATCGAATTGGAACAATTTTAGAAGAAATTGAGAAAATTCAAGCCGTCGGTCAACCGATTCTCAATCGAACCAAAGTTATCCAAGTGAGTTATCGATTTTATTATTCTTTTATTATTCTAATTGTCAACTAAATGCTGATTCTCACTCAATTCTCAGGCTGCTCCTGCCCTAATGTATGATTCCGTCTATGCTCTTGCAATGGGCTTACATTCACTACAATTAAGTAATCCCTCCATTCAATTACGAAGCTCAAATGCTTCATGTGAAACTGAAAATCCATGGATCGATGGAAGCAGTTTATTTAATTATATTAATTCTGTAAGATTTATTTTTATCAGAATTGAGTTTTCTTCCTCTCTTACTAATAAATATTCGATTTCTCAGGTTGAATATCGTGGCTTAACTGGAAGAATCAAATTCGCTGAAGGTGTTCGAGCTTCAGTTAAAATGGATTTACTTAAATTACGTCAACATGATCTTGATAAGGTGAGCAGTTAATTGTTACTAAATTACACGTTTAATCAACTATCTTCACTATTTTTTCATTGAAATTTAGTAGTAATTAGTCAATTGTTTTTGTCAATATTAACCATTGGATCCGTTGACTTTTCATTAGCGCGACAATTTTGGTCTATTGTTTTTTCCTGTTATCCAATGTTTTAATGTTTAGGTTAATTGCCTTTGAATTAAACTTTCAACTGCAATTTAATTTCCGTGTTTTCAATCAGAATCAATATAAAAGTCAAACCAATCAGAGTATTAGACACAGATTAATCAGGATGAAAAGAGATAAATTCATCATTGAACCATGGAAAACTTAATAAGTCATGATAAATGATCTGATTTTTCCCTGAGTATTTTTTCATTACTTTTATCATTCAACCATCATGATCATCTTAATCATCAAGTGAAACTGATTTTCCATCATGTATCAAAGTTAACTATGAAAAACATGAGATCATCGATTAACCATGAAACTATAATTTATTAGAATTCTAATTGTTTGTTATTCTATTCACAATGAATCAGATTTCTTACAAATCAAAAGCTTCTAAGGCTCAATAATATTCTGAATGAACTCAACTTTTATCTTTATCTTTCACAGGTCGGTGAATGGACTAACACTGGAGGATTAAATATCACGAATGCTGAAGCTTTTCATGAATTTGGAACCACAAATATAACATTGAAAGTTACCACAATCGAGGTGAGTCTCTTTGAACATTTCGAGTTAAATTTCGTGTTGACATTCATCTTTATTATTGCATCAATTGATTAAACTGATCGATAAGTTAATTACTATTATCATAGAGTAACAAAAGAGCTCAATTATACAATGTATTACATTGGTAACTTTTTATGCTCCTCTTTTTTTTCAAATCGATAGACTCAATTGACAAACTCATTTGATTTCCTTTTCCGGTTCTATGACAGGCAACTCAATCTCTGTCAAAGTTTATAAACAGCTTGAATTGATCTACTAATTTGACTAAACGATGATGTTTGATGTGTAATTATAATAGATCGATGAAATAACAATTTAGAGTAGAATATAAAAAAAGAGGTTCCATCAATGTTTTGAACATATTCCCCGGAAGTTATCAGAACAGAAGCCAAGTTGAAACCTTTCTCGAAGTTTCATCAGAAACTATTCTTCTCAGTTCTCAATAGTGAGTTGATTCGCTTTCTTCATAATTGATTGGAAAGTTTGTAATCTCATGGATTAGGTTTAGATCCTGAGGATTTATTTTAACGGGGAAAATTTTGATTCTTTTCATTTGATTTTCGAATTTTAAAATTGTCCTTTTCTTTTCTAATTCTCTACAGGAAATTCCTTATTTAATGAAGAAAAAAGATGCCAATCTAACGGGTAACGATCGATATGAAGGATTTTGTATCGATCTACTTCAAACTATCGCTGAAGCTCTCGATTTCCATTTCGAACTTCACCTGGTTCCTGATGGGAAATTCGGAGCTCAGGATGTAGCAACTAAGGAATGGAATGGATTGGTCAGAGAACTCATGGATAAGGTGAGAAAAAGTTCATGGAGATTACTAGTTAACTTAAAGTATTTCCAGTAAGATAATCTCATCCCATTATCATGATAATGATGAAGATAAACTTAAGAGGATGTTAATCTGACAAACATCAAATTCACCATGAAAACTGAAAATCAGATTTTGTGGTTTTCTATGAGCATGATAACGTTCATGGTAATGATGATAATGATGGTGATAGAAAGAAACAATTTCCACTGTCTTGTTTTTCAATGGAAAACTCATTTATAGAAATTCAACTTTGGGAGAAAACAAAAAAAATAAAAAAGAAAAATAAATCAACAGATAATATTTTCTTCTTGTGATGATAATCATCAAAAATATCATCAAATGAACAAGAAAATTTTCTCGAAAAAGAGTTTCAATATCGAACATATATTTTTTCATTATTGTTCTGATTCAAGAGCTTTTAGAACTTTATTTTTTGTTCCAAAAATCCGAATCAAAATCTTTTGTAACTTTTATTATGATCCGAGGACTTTGATTACTGGGAACAAATATAAATCTATTAAACTGATAATAAAAGAATGAGAGAAAAAAGTTCTGACCAGAGGTTATCATTGGAGTCTTGTTTAGAACTTTTCTATCGAATACTTGAGATAATATCGGTGAGAATTTTAGAAATCAAAAAGTTATATAATATCAACATGAGAAAACGAAAAATGAAAAGAGTAAAAATTGATTGAAATGTAACAACGATTCAAGTTCGAAGTGATCTGGACATCATGGTAACTCTATTATTCATCAGAATAGCAATAAGTTATCATGTTAGAACTTTTTTCCACTCTTCTTATTGACAATTTGTCAATAAGATTGAAGTTTATTATTCACTTTTTAAATTCGATGTAATAATTTTTCGAAAATTTTATTGTTTTGTTCTTTTCTCCTTCTTTATTATTTTTAATGGTCAGAAAGCTGATCTTGCTGTTGCTCCGATGACCATAACTTATACTCGTGAATCTGTTATCGATTTCACTAAGCCTTTTATGAACCTTGGAATCGGCATTTTATTTAAGATTCCAAGTAATATGCCCACTCGACTTTTCTCATTTATGTCACCTCTTGCGGTGGACATTTGGTTATATGTCCTGGCCGCTTACATCTTGGTCTCTTCGACTCTTTTCATTGTTGCCCGTTTCAGTCCATACGAGTGGACTAATCCTCACCCATGTGCCCGTGATTCAGATGTAATTGAGAATCAATTTAGTTTAGCCGATAGTTTCTGGTTCACTGTGGTAACCCTGATGAAACAAGGTTGTGACCTTAACCCTAGAGCGGTGTCCACTCGAATCATTGGTGCGATTTGGTGGTTTTTTACACTTATTTTAATATCATCTTACACAGCCAATTTAGCTGCCTTTTTAACCGTTGAACGGATGGTCACTCCCATCGAATCGGTTGAAGATCTTGCTGCTCAACAAAAAATTGCCTACGGAACTTTGGAAGGAGGATCGACCATGACCTTCTTCAGGGTAGGTCGACTTTCAAATCATACGATGAAATCGTATTTCTCATTTTCAGCTCTCTCTCTATCTCTCTTTCTAGGACTCGAAAATTCCGACCTATCAGAAGATGTGGAGATACATGGAAAATAATCACCATGTTTTCGTGAAAAGTTACTCAGAAGGAGTTGATCGAGTTCTGCAAGGAAATTACGCTTTTCTTATGGAATCAACAATGTTGGACTACAAAGTCCAGAGAGATTGTAACCTTACTCAGGTCGGTGGACTTTTAGACTCCAAAGGTTACGGAATAGCGACACCAATGGGTAAGCACCGACTTCTATATGCATTTGAAATTTATTCAATTATCAAAGGAGATGAAAAATATTCTCATGATGTCTCATGAGAAGATTATTATGAATTATTATCATTATGAATAATATAGACCAAGATTTAAAGATAAGACGAATAACTAAACTGCTAGAAGCTAATTGCCAATAAAATCAATAAATTTTTGATTCTTGGGAAAAATAAATTCATAATCTATTAAATATTTAGTGATTATCCAGATAAGAAATAAAAAAATCAACGAAAACATCGTATTAGATTCAGGTAAAAATATTAATAAGTTAGAGGAAAAACAACTTAAAACTTAATATTATCACTTTTTCATGGTTATTATCATGGATATTAATATTCACCAATATAAATGGTTCGAAAACAAGAAGAAAATATTAATATTTCCAAATAATTCATATGCATTATCGTTGAAGTGAAAAGTATTTTGGAAAATATTTAAATTGAATGTGACCGCCGGAGGGAAAAACTAGCAACTGAATTTCAAATTACTCCATTTAATGGCTATCGAGTGTTCAACTGATCCATATTTAGGTACAAATTGTTCCTGTAACAATTTAAAATACCTAGAGAAAGGGTTACCCTGTAACCCTCATGTTTCCTTGAATGATTATCACGATAAATAATTGAATATTAAATTTTGCATGATATCAAATGTTTACTCTATCATGGTGGTATCTTTTTCTTCATGGGAATCTGTAGGTTCACCTTGGAGGGACAGAATCTCTTTGGCAATTCTGGATCTTCAGGAAAAGGGTATTATTCAGATGTTATATGATAAATGGTGGAAAAGCCCTGGATTAACCTGTATAAGAGATGAAATGAAAAACAAGGACGGAAAAGCAAGTGCACTTGGACTCGATAATATCGGAGGTGTTTTCGTCGTCCTCCTTTTTGGCCTTGCATTAGCCTTAATCACCGCAGTGGGTGAATTTTTCTGGAACTCAAGAAAAAGTACCAAAGCAACCAGGGTAAATATCGATCAATTCATTGATGTTCATCATCATGTTAGATCAGTTGGATACTTTAACTTGTTGACAAACTTTCTTGTCGCTCAAAATTGCCATGAATTATTTATCTCATGAAAATGTTGATTCTCATAATACCAATGATAATTTTCAGACTAGTTATGAATCAGTTGATAATTGATAATCCATTACAATTGAAAATCGATTAAATAATAAATTCGACATATTGATTATTGAATCACTTTCTTACTTCGTTGTTCAGTTATCATCAATTTTGAAGGGAAAAGTTTCTAAGGAAAATAATATTTTGTCTTATGGAAATTGATTGATAAAATTTGTGAGTTTTCTCATTTGCTGTGATTCATTTGATGATGAAGATAATCTCTATTCCCTTCACGAGGGTTACCCTGAAACTCAGATTAATTCTCATATATTTATAATAATGAACTGTCAATTTCTGTCAATTCTAATTACTTGGTAAGAGTAACGAAGAAAATGAATGAAAAAGGATGAAGATGAAGATGAGAATGTGAATCTACTATGAATCAAGATTAAGTAAAGAAATGGAGGAGAAGAAAAAAAATGGAAATAATCAGGTCATCGAAATGGTTCATCAATAGGTTTGATTTACTCTTCGATTCTCATCAATTCTGAGACATGAGAATCACCATGAGCAGAGGGAGAGAGAGAGCATCAAGATAATGATAGAAAACTTTTTTTCATCTTTCTAATCAGTGAAAGTTTATCTTCTAATCAAATTGATGACGGTGATGATGATATGGACCATGAACCAGAAAACTGAAATCCATTGATCTAAATGATGATTTTCATGATAATCCTTTACTAATCCATCCAAGTTATTATCTATTTTCTTTTAATCTCTGTTGATTATCAATCATTAAACTTGATATTTTATCGGGTTAGATTCTAATTCTGTTTCTTTTTGTTTTGCTGAATCATTTTCTTTTTCTATAGCAATCATTTTGCTCTGAAATGGCCGAAGAACTGAGATTCGCTGTTAAATGTCGAGCTTCCCGCCAAAGGCCAGTTCTAAAGCGACAATGTTCAAACTGTTTCGTTGCACCAACCTACGTGCCTAATGGATCCGAACAGCCTATTCAAGAGAATGGGATTCTTCATGGTTTATATGATCTAACAAAATCAACTTCAATGGAATATCATGAAAACTAAATTATCGTCGATCCATTGAATGAAAGACAGAACGAAATGAGAAAAATAAAAGTTCTGAATGGAAAAAGAAATTCTCACATTTATATTATTACTTATATATCATCACGATTATCGTTATTATCTGATTCAGTTGTAAACATTTTCTGAATTGTCAGACTTTTTTTATATTCTCGCCATGAATCATGATAATATTGAAAGATTGGATCATTGAAATGATCAGAAAACCACTGAGGTGGTCATTATATTTACCCAAAGATCAAATGAATCAATGTAATCAGATTAATGACTTTCACATTTATCTTCAATTCATCAATGGCTTTCATGATAATGTTCATGATATGTAACAAATTGAATCAATGATGAAACTCCCACTTTCTTACCAATCATTTACATCACTATATTAACAGTTAATTATAATTAATTGTTACTCTAATCAACCAAATTTGTTGAGGAAAACAAACTTTTAATTATGTCAAATCTCAACTATTAATATAAAGTAACTAATGTTTATTTTTATATACAAATCTTGTTAAATTGTCACAAAATTGGACAACCTTAATTATTATTAATCAGCTAATTTAATGATAATCATGTAACATCATCTTGATTGTAACCAATAGATTTACAATATAATTAACAATTATATAATTTCTAATTATTTTAATCGTTGGTCTTGTTTTGTTCAGTTGTTATTAATGTTATGATTTAAGAAATTAAATTTGATTAACTTGAAACGAAAAATAAACAATCAATTTTAATTTACTTTCGGGTCATGTTAATTATTGGATCAATAATATAATTAGTTTATTTAATTTCAATTTTATTTTACTATTTAACTTATTGGTTACTGATTCTATTGCTAATTTAATCAATTGGTGAGTAAATAAAAGTTAATTTGTTTTCTCAATTTATTCAAACAATTTACTTTAGTTATCGATTATTTTCTGATTCAAACTCAATATTAACACTCAGATGAGTAAATATTTTTAATTACTGAATTCAAGATTCAATTAACTCAATGAGATGTTTGGTTTTCTGGTTCATCTTTTTGGGTTAAATTGGTTAGAACTTTTTTCCGAAAAAAAATCGGGTTCGTTTGTTTACTTTTTCTCCCAATAGATGGCGTTACAATCTGAGCTCTAATGGTAACATGTTTTGTTTCAATTGTTTGTTTACCTTTTTGAGAATTGTTTTTTTCTAATTGTTTCGAGTTAATTGTTTCATTTTTTTTACTGTTTATTGATCATTAGCTTGCTGATTACCTTTGTAATCATGTTTGCTCTTCGACAGGTCCGAACTTATTGTGTCTCTGCTCCTCTAATCTTACCAAAGGAATATGGTCTCCGTCACTCTGATATTTTCAATGCAAAAGTTACTCCACCAAAGGAAAGTTGGCTTTATAACTTTGACACACTCGCTTCGGTTAAATTGGGCTTAGTTGGACTTCATCCTAAGGTGTTCTCAGCGTTTCCCAGACCTGATTTGATTGCGATGAATGTTATCTGGCAGCAAAAGTATCGGAAAATTGATTGGTTAAAGATGAAAACGAGAGCTGAATTTCGTACATTAAATAAGAAACCATGGCCTCAAAAGGGAACTGGTCGTGCTCGTCATGGATCTAGAAGGTCACCACAGTTTACCACCGGTGGTTGGTCACATGGACCTCGTGGGCCTAAAACGTCATTCTTCATGTTGCCCTATTTTAATCGAGTCGTCGGGCTAATCAGCACCATAACATGTAAATTTGCCCAAAATGATATAAAAATTGTAGATACTCTGGAATCATTTCCTTCTGATGATCCACAATTTTTGAAAGAGATGATTAAAACTCGAGGATGGGGACCTTCAGTTCTAATTGCCGATACAACGGACATTTTCCCCAAGAACCTTGCCCTTGCAAGCCACGGAATCGATCACATCAATTGTATGCCAACTTACAGTTTGAATGTTTACTCGATGCTCAAACATGAAACTCTAGTCTTGACCTATTCAGCACTTCGAGAATTAGAGGAAAAACTATTGTTCCAATTAAATCGAACCGATCTCAAAGAGATTATTGGTAAATACGAAGCGCCGAAAGTGGTTCCCAATTATCCAAACACTGATCCTATTTTACAGCCTTAAAACTATGAAATGAAATTTATATTCTTAGTATTGTGTTAATAATAAACTGAATTTAGTTCTATTACAATAAACTTCTAATTGTAAAGAAAAACCTTTGAATTAATAACCGAATAACAGTAAATTTAACATGATAGATTTTAATTTGGATTCGATTTATTTTCATGATAACCGAGATTAAGTTGATCGATTCACTTGATAGTTTAGGTGTTTAAAGTTGATCGAATCAAGTGTCAATCGATTAACAATACAAAATATAAATTCATCTTGATGAGAGAATGTCAATTAAAAAAAATCTCAAAAAATTAAGTAAATAATTTGATCAAATTGATCAACAATCTCATTGATTTTGTGAAGGAAAATACTGATCAGGTTAATTGTAAAAGGTTAGGAACTAAAAACTTTGGGTAACTTTATGTGAGTCTCATTTTTATCAGTCTTTTGATTAGTAAATTGTTTATCCCTCCGATTGAACGAACTGAATTTAGGTGTTGAATTAACGACGTTCGTCGGACCGGTAACTCGTAATGAGACACTTATATTAACATCGTTAGTCTTTGGTTGCGTTTTATTGGTTTGCCGTCGAGATCCATATCCAGTTGATACCTTAACTCCAATATTCATTTGATTGTTTCGATGCGCTGGAGATGATGATCTGATCTGATCTGATGTCGAAGCTGAGTAATGATCCATAGTAGTTTGTTGATTGTTCAGTTTAGGTTTGTACCGATCATCAGGCCAAAGAAAATGAACAAGTTCTAATCTCGGTGAACAGCCAAGAAATTTGAGGCCGATAAATGACCGCAAGTCAAATTCTGTCATTGATTTCCGACAATCAGGGTAACCGATCCAAGCAGTTCCTTTAGAGATCCTCAGAACTCTGTAATCGGCTTTAATCCGATTACAGAAACTATTGATTTGGTGAATTCGTTTGTAACTATCAGAGTCTTCGTATAGACCAGATAACTTGATGAATCCAGAGCAATTCTGATAGTTGATCCTTGGTGATGTTTCCCTTAAATTGCCGCCGTCCAATTGGTAAGTAACATCAACACACCAAAGCAATTCCCGTGAAAATGATCTGCGACCATGAATAAGATAAACAATCAAATCATAATTGAGTTTAAGCTTCAATAGAGGATCAAGAAAATCCGAATCTCCAGTAACGACGATAATGGCACATCCTCGCTCTCCCCAATTCTTGATGAATTTAGAGATTAATAAAACGATCTTCGTATCCGCGGCATTTTTCGACTCGTCGTAAAAAGGATGGACTATGTTCACGTTCATCGATTCCAATGAATTACCAACAGTATTTGACATCCTTTCCACTCTGCAAGCTACATAGAAATCTCGTTCTTCCAGGCCATTGGGCTTGATTATTGTTGACCTAATTGTTGAAACGATTCCAGCGGCATCACAACCATGAGGAACGGCGACATTTTCAATGTCCCAGAAAACGCCGCAATTTAATTTAACCATTATCACAGAATCACTTGAGTTGAGACTAAAGTCATCAAGGTAACAATAACAATACAGAATCGACAATAATTTCCATCGATTTTTTCTAATAAATTACAAAAAAAATCGATCATCGAGAATTAAGATTTTCGATGATAATTAAAAATCAAGTTCTGCTCGTGATTATTACAATTCTTTGATTGTTTAGGTTTAGTTGGGTTAATCAATATGAAAATAAAGGAAATGAATTAAATTGGATAAAATTTCTTTTCTTTTTCTTCAATCAATCTCTTGGTTAATCAACAGAGTTTACTAATTGTAACCAGTTAATTTTGTTACGATTTGTGTTTCTCTTTTTTTTGACAATTAGAGTTTGTTTTCAATTTGATTTTTTTTTACAATAAGAATATGAGAGAGGATTGTGGATTTGATTGATCGATTAGGAATACGATTGAATGTTGATTAAGAAAAAGAAAGAATTAAGTTAATTGTTTGCTTGTTTTTCCTCCTTTGTGAACAAATGCTAAAATGATTGAGTTGATTGATGGTTTGTTGTTTAGGTAATAACAAAAAATACAATATTTTTACAATAAATTGTGTACACAATTTAACAACACGTAATAAATAGAGTTCATATTTCCCTTGATTGAAATTGGAGATTTACAAATCCCAATCATTGTCGATCAATAAGATTAATCCATTTCAACTTGATCCACAATCGAACCTTGAAAAAAACCATAACTCCAATAACTTTTCCATGGCAAAAAAATATCTTTTTTCTTTGTAATTCCATTTTCATGGTCATTCGAATCAATGTTTTCGCCAGTCACCTTTTCTTTCCGCTTTTGATATACAAAATTCAAGTGAAAATGTTTTGTTTCTCCAAATTATTTGATTGTAATTAAATAAATGATTGTGCCTTTTGTTTATATTCACATCAATTTCAAGATTGAAATCAATTGGATGACTGGGGTGGGATTAATTATGATTAATGGTGATGACCAGATTATAGAGATTAATTAAAAAGGACCGATTCAGGATCTTCATTAGACAATTGTTTAATATGGCGAAGGACATCTTTCTTTGTAATGATTCCTAGGAGACGTCTGTAAAAAGATTGACAATTAATTACTATTAGTATTTAATAGTGAGAAAAGTGATTAATCATCAACTTGAATTTAATCTTACCCATTATGTGTAACTAGGACTTGACGAAGACCAAGTTTTCTGAACATATCGATAACTGTTTCCATAGGAGTTTGATCGGTAATTGTGATTGGAGCAAAATCAACTATTCGTCTTAAATTGAGTGGTTGAGGTAAACCATCACCGGTGGAAGTTGGTATATCGGCACCTCCATTGAAAAAGACTCGAGTATTTTCATAGAGTTCACTGGTTCGCTTAGCAGAAGTTAGAGCGATTTGAAGATCTTTTCGAAGGACAAAACCTACTAGATATTGTGATTCACGAGAAATTACCACCGGGTAACCATTGTGATGTGAATTTCTTAATAGAGTATCAATATCATCGACAGTCATTGAGTCTTGAGTTAAAAGTACTAACGGTGGATCACTACGTGTCGGTTTCATACAATCGGCGGCCAAAGTTGTATAGGTGAACTCTTCTTTACTATCTAAAAATGGATAACCATTTAGATTGATGTGAGCATCATAAATACCCTCTTTGCCCAGGGCATCACCCACCCATTTAGAGGCCATCACAGCTGACATTAGGGGGACGATAAAGTTAACACTTCCAGTTAACTCAAACATTATCACAACTAGAGAGACTGTCATTCGAGTTACTCCTCCTAGAGTTGCTGCAGCTCCAACCATAGCATAAATACCGGGTGTCATACAATTTACTCCTGTTGAACAAGCACCACCGAAGATTGACAATTTGGGATATTGGAAAGCGATCTGTTCCATGATTATTCCCACGACACGACCGAGAATAGCTCCCATACACATGGAAGGGATGAAAAGACCGGTCGGTATTTTAATGCCAAAAGTGAATACTGTGATTACCAATTTGAATATAAGAGCGAGAATTAATAAGTAGATTGACTTGTAGACTCCTGGTCCAGCTTCGGCATTGTTGAATAACTTTTTGTTCACGTTGGTAAAATTACGCTTATAATCACAAAGATCAGAGGCATCGGCAATGCCACATTGGGAGAAAAGAATACGAATAAGGTCAGATGAATCCATTCGAGTAAATTCATTAGGAAATGATAACATGGAGGTGACAAGAGCCACAACGAGAACCTCAGTAATCGGATATCGACCTAATTTAGATTCTTTCCTGTGTCTACACCATCTTATATTAGCCCTGATGAAAAGAGTTCCAATGACACCACCACATATACCAAGGAAAACAAATGGAACCAATTCAAAGAGCACCCAAGGGCGTGTATAATCAACATAAAACTTGACAAGATGTTCATTGCCAAATGGGTTGATACTTCGTCCAACGAAAGCAGCAATTAAAGCACAAAAAAATGATCTCCAAAGGGTTTTAAGAGGAAAATAATATGAAACCTCTTCAAGTGAGAAAAGTACACCACCAATTGGTGCACCAAAAGCAACGGAAACACCGGCAGCGGAAGCAGCGGATAAAATTTCCCTCTTTTTAGCCTCATTTTTACCATACTTTGAGAAACACGGCCAATGACTGAAAAAATTACCAATGCAACAGGAGACATGAACTAAAGGACCTTCTTTACCCAAACTAAGGCCTGATGCGGTTACCAGCATCAAGCAAATTGATTTAATGATAAGTGTCCATTTACCAAGGTAACCACGAATGATGAAACCTGAGAGTATTGTTTTAATCTCAGGTATACCCGATCCACAGGCATAAGGTGCAAAGGTTTGAACTAAGAGAGCAGCTAAACCGGCAAAGAAACAGCTGAATAAAACATAAAGAATATAAGAAACGAAAGCATAACCAAATGAACTTGTCTTGGTGATTCCAAGTAGTTGTGGCCATGTTTTCCATTGGGTACAATTATAAATCTCTAGAACTGTATCATTAGATGACCAACAACACTGTTCACGATTAAGGTAAAAAGCTTCTGGACAAATGCCATCTTTAAGGTCTTTCATCCAACCAGCACCAATATCGATGACACCAGCAACATTACCAGCAAGAATACCGACAAGAGAAACACATAACCAGCCTGACCAAGCATCATGAGTCGATCTGAATGATTCCAGAAGAGAATCTTTTTTCCTACGGATTATGGAACGATGTCTGGTTCGATCTCGAGCAATATCACGCTGCCAATCAATCGTATGGAAATCATCATACTGTCCAATACCAACAAGTTCTGTATCCAATTCTAGAAAAGAGAGAAAAAGAGAAAGGTAAAGATATCAAAAGGATAAAATAATTTGACATAAGGAATGAAAGATATCACGTAATTGAGGTAAAAAAAACTATGTGGAAATTAAATTTAAACTTTTGTTTATGGTTATTGTTTTATATTCACTATCATGTCTCTAAGTTATTGTTGCGAGTCAACAATATTGTTATGATTTATTAGATCGAGAAATCAATTTTTATTTCCAACCTTTGGTACCCGATTTAAGGAAACAATCAAGTTCAGTTGTTTCTTCACCATTCTCGGAACTTGATGAAAAATCACATAGATTACGGGAAGAGGAGGAGGACAACATACCTTTATCCATCCTCAATCCTCTTTAAACGAGTCACTACACTTAATAGAATATAAATGTTTGTTGTCACAATTATAACAAAAAGCAAGTCACAAATAGAAAGAAGAAGAAGAAAAAAGTTGAATCAAGAAGCAAACGCAAAAGTTGACGACCGTAAATCAAGTCAAGCCCACCGGATAAGCAGCAACGGTTATGCAATTAGTTGATTGTGATGATCAAGACGAAGAATAGAAAATTTTGACGACAGAAAGAAAAGAAAGAGGTAGAGGTATAAAAAGAAAGATAAAAAAAGGAATCAAGGAACAGATAGAATAACAAATAAACAGTAAAATTAGATTGACAAAAAAAGTCAGAGATAGAAGAGGATGAGGATGATGATGATGATGGTACTGAAGAATAGTAGAGAGATAAAGCTGACGATGAAGACAAGAGAAATTGAGAGAGAGAGAGAGAGAGAGGAAAAAGGTGGAGGGTGGTGGATAAAACTAAAAAGAAAAAAAAAGTCAAGGTTAGAGAAGAAAGTAAAAGGTAAATTCTATTTAATATTGACACATATGAGAGATGTCATTCGATTGTGAACCTTCAGTTTAACTTGTTTCCTCTTCCTCAGGCCTTTTCTTTTTCTTCTTCCAATTTAGTCTCTCTGACCACAAATTCAACTCCTCTGGTAATTAATTAATAATGAATGTTATTCCTTGTCATGATTACAAGAATTAATAGGATACGAGAAAAAAAAATTAGAGAACAAGTAAAAATCCAAATAACATAGAAAAACAAATAAAAAAAGAGAGAAAGGTGAAGATTAACTGGATTAACCAATAAACCGGATAATCAGATCATCGGTGGTATTGAAGAAACTCTCGTTGAAATTGGTTAAATTAAATTGATCACAATTGATTAAATAATAAATAAGTTACAATAATAAAATCAACAATTTAAACTCAACATGATAAGTTGACATCACTTGATGAAAAAGTGATAATCTCTTTGGATCAACCAATTGGAATCCAAGGAGCGAATTTCAAAAAATCTTGTAACCGAAATTTTTTTTTTCGATTTTTTTTTATTCCAAATAATTAAAACTCAATCAATCAATTGTTCAGCTAATTAATGTCATAGATTATCACTGGTCATTCAGTAGTTAATTGAGATGAACAGATAAACAATCAAAGACTCTACTTTATTTTTCGAGAGGATTAATGTTGAGTTTAAATTGTTTGATTGAATTTTGATCTGGAAAATTACAATTAACTGATTGTAAGTTTGGACCAGTAAAAAAGTAACAAAACAATTAATTAATTACCTTCACCGTAAAATGAATCCCTGGTCATCCTTTTAAATTGTGATCGCACGTAACCATTTAAACGATTAACCGAAGTCATTGTAACCATGATTGTTAATTGTAATTGATTTGGTTTTTTATTATAAAATGAAAATCAACCAACTGTTTAGTTAATAACAAAATTGAATTGAAAATTTTCAACGAAAAACAAACAATTAACTAAATCAATAAATGGTGATTCTAATTGTGCTTTGGATTAATGGTAATGATGATAAATTGTTGTTACAACGATAATAATTTCACCCTAATCACTATCAGTTAATTGTTATCAGTTTTAATTGTGGTGTAAAAGAAAACAAAATGATAACTATCAATACAATTAATGTAACTAATTGTTACCCTGGTTCTGAGTAATTAAATGAATTCACTTCACCCAATCAGGATAATTTAATTTTTCCAGTGAAAATTTTCAATCATTTTAATTTCGGCAACAATTAAGCTCAACTATTAATAAATTAAACAAGGACATTAATTCAAATTGAATCTCTAGTCTACTAATTGTGATTTTCATCAATGATCTTGAACATGATTAATGTTGATGATTTAATTGTGGGCGTAATTAAGATTCACTGTGAGGGTAAATCAACAATATGAATTCTAATTGGCTAATTGTTGGTGATTAGCAATCAACTAATAATGGGATTTCAGTGTTACGATCAACATTTTGATTAGTATCGAGTTCAATTGTAATTATTAATAGTTAATTGAGAAATTAATTTAATACAAATTTAATTTGATTTGGGGTCGGTTTTAATTAATTTTGTTCAAATTGTTTGGTAGATTGTTTTTTACTCGGACAACTAGTGATTTACAATTAATTTAGCAAAAGCAATTGTTTTCTTGAAGAAATTGAAACAATCAGTTAATTGTAACTGACAATTAAATATTTTCCACTCTTGATAACTAATTAACGTCTCTTTAATCATTATCATCACAATTTGATTAAATTACTCTGATAATTAAATGAATCAATGAGGAAGACAAAAAATTGAGACAATCTAAAAAATAGTATTTTAATTAACCTTTTTAACAATTATATTAACAATTAACTAACCATTTTTATTGACCAATTAATTTTAATCATTACTAGTTAACCAAATTGCACAAATTGTGATGTCAATGATTAATAAACAGTTAATTTACATCAGTTAATCAAGAAATCGATCACTAATCGTTACAACAATTAACTTTTCATTGTTCTCAATCTCTTAACAAATAACATTTACTTTTGGTGTCCATTGATTGTTTACAATTTAATTTAATTTTAACAATTTAAAAGTTTTGTCCAGTGATTGATTTAGTTTGTAATTTTTTTTTAGGTAATTATTTTATTTTCTTAAATAATTTCTTTTTGTTAACAATTAGTTAATTATGTTGATGATGAATGTGAATGTTAATGAAATTTGATTTATGTTGATTTTATTTCATATCGACTTCAAATCTTTAAATTGTTTCAAATTGTGAGGATGATGATTAATGAAGATGATGAAGATGAAGATGAGGATGAAGATGATTTAAATTATTTCCTTGATTCATATATATAAGTATATATATTTGCCTTTTATGTGTAACAATTAATTAAATCATCTTAATAATAAGTAATTGAGAGTCGATGAAATTGAAAAGTTTTATATATTTGATTGGATGAAAATTGTTTCTTCAATTGATTTAATTGAATTGAATAAATAATAATTGATCATTTAGGTGCCATCAGAACAGTAACAAATTCTGTAATCAAAAAAGAAAAGACAATTAGTTAATCATGAAAAATCAATCAATCATCAGGAAATCATGAACACATTGATTGTTAATCAAAAGTTAATTTTTATCAATTTAGAAAATCAATTGAGCAACAATAGATGGCGCTAATTGTTGGTTAATTGTTTCCATTTGCAAGTCGATTTTAAGTAAAATATTAATTGTTACAATTACTTTGTTGATGATCAGGTAGACAAAGTATCATGAAATTAGAGTTAATCATTTGGAACATAAAATGAACAAAATCCCAAGAGATTAATGAAGAAAAAAGTTCCAATCGTTTTATCGTTAATTTCATTTTCTTTCGTTGGGTTAATTTTCAGAACCAAAAGAAATACAATTAAATGATTAGAAGGATAAACAAAATTCTCATCATAATTTATCTTAATTTCATGATGATTTCATCCAAGAACGAGAAGAATGGTCCTAATGCTATTATTTTATCTTCTTCTTTTTCTTCCTGAGTTATTATCTCTTTTTTTTACCTGAATATATGTTTACCTTTTCTTTGTATCTTCCATGATAATGTTTACCTGTAATATTACATCATCACCATCATCATCATCACCAGTCAAATAGTGGTGATGATAAGATATAAATTGGCATAGAATTCTGGTCAATTACTGATCGAATCATAATTGCATCTTCCAAGAGTTTCTGATCTTGTATTGATTGTTATTATTTCTGATTGATATGTTTTTATCTGTTTCTTTTTTTGTCAAGATTAATGAGAAACTATTGAACGATCATCATTATTATTATTACTATTATCATTATAATCGAACTAAATTCAATACGATTATTAAGTTTAACAATTGTGATCTAAACTAATCTTAAGAAATGATTACTCGTCAAAATAAGTCTCTTCATTCAGTTGAAACAATTTCAAGTTTGATCACTAAGAGAATTGATTGTAACAATTAAAAACGAGAAAAAAATTGATTTGTTTCCTCAGGGTTACCATGATTTTAAATTAACTTTTCGCAGCAAATTTGGTAGTTTTTCATGGTAAATATTTACTCCTGATTAACCTTGAGATAAATTTAAAACTTTAAACTGTAAGAAATCAAAATATTTATCATAATCAGCTGATTATTGATTAAACAATTTGTTCCAAGTGTTGGAAACTATTAAGACGCAAAGATATGAAAGTTCTGAGAGAAATTTTCAAATTTTCGTTTATTTTTTCAGAGAATATAATTTATCATAATTCATGTGATCTTGAATTGATAAAAGGAAAAAAATATACAGATAAAGCTGAATATTACCTCAAACTGTAGATCTGACAAGTTGAATTCCCAGCATCTACCAAGGAAAATGTTACCAACTCTATTATTCTGATAAGTTTAATGCTGTTTTTTTTTATTTCGAGGTTGAACTTTTCCTATTACTGTGCCTTCCTTTTCCACCCCCACTTATATATCTCTTTTTACCCAATTTCTTTCAACCTCCTGCTCAATTCTGGTTTTGGTTCCTCTGAATTCCATGATAAAAGTTATCATGTTTTGGAATCACAACTGAACATTCTCTTTATCTGGATCTTCATTCACCTTCTCACCTGGTCTTTAGTATTATCTCATTGTTATTATTGCAACAAGAATAATAACATTCAGAGTTTTCATGATGATCACCATGATCATCATGGAGATGATGATTACCAGAAGTCATAGTGTTTACAGTTGGTTCTGAGTTCTATCTGATTATCCAGGGAATCGGATAACATTCTTGATAGCAAATTGCGAAAGATTTTTTTTTTATCCTCTTTCAGTCCTCAGAACTTTCCAGTCAAAATTATTCAGACAATTTCTCCACCATATTCAATGTTATCATCAACATTTGACAGAACAGTTGAAACGGTATTTCAACAGGGGAAATTTATTTTGAAATCCTTTTATTCCTTAACAATTAGTTATTATTATTATAATTGTACTTTTATTTCCAGGTCACTCAATCGATTGTGCAAACCTCATCACAGAATCTTGAAGATTCTGTATAGATACAAAATACTATGAACCTTGCAGCTCAGAATTTAAGATTCATTCATGACTATCCTTTTGTTGTTTATTATCTTGTTGTCAATTTAAGTAATACTTGATCACGAATCATGATGAAAATGTTCTGATGTTTATGATAACCTGAACTTTTCCAATGATATTTATAACCATAGTTTCTGGTAAGTTATTGAAATCAGGTAACAATAGGATAAGATTTTCCAGTAAATTAATCATTACCGTCAGAAATTGATCAACAGTTTTCATAATTAATCACTTTTATTATGAATAATTGAAAGATTGACTCTCATTATTGATCCTCGTCAATCTAATTTCACATGAAATTGGTTAGGGATAATGAACTGTTCCATCAGATGACATCGAATGCAAAAAAACTTTTTTTTTGAGAATTTGAAAAACTCGATTATTTCCTCGTATCATCAAGTGTTATCATGAAATGTTCAGGATGTTTTTGACACAATTTTAACCCACAAAAATGTTTCAGTATGAATATCATGTTACCATGTTGAATAATAATAAACCATCAACACAGAATTAACATTCAAAATGCTGAATAGATTGTTAATTTGATTGATGAGAATTTCCTGATAAAGGATAACAATAAAGTGAGAAAAAGATGGCAAAAGAGAGAGAAACAAAAAGGTCCTGATTCCAAGAATTTTCATCAGAATCACTGAATTTATCGCTTAACTGATAAGTCATGGTGATGATCCATGCAAAAGGTGATGATAATCTTGATTTGAAAATTGAATTCTAGGCTTAGAGTTGATTAATCACTTGGAGACTTTGTCGATGTTAAGTTGATGTCAATGATTTCCCAATAAGAGAAAGGGTCAAATCAATAGCATTTACTCACCGTCGTAATTGACCAATCCATCACCATCAAGATCAGCCTCTTTTATCATATCTTCCACTTCCTCATCGGTCAGTTTCTCTCCTAAATTGGTCATCACATGCCTTAATTCAGCGGCATTGATAAAACCATCTCCATTCCTATCAAATACCCTGAAAGCTTCACGAAGCTCCTCTTCTTTATCTGTTTCCTTCATTTTACGAGACATCATGTGAAGAAATTCATTGAATTCAATGGTTCCGTTTCCTGTTAATCCAATAAATAAAAATTGGATAATAAAATATTAATCAGTGTATGAAAATCATGAGATTTTTATGGAGAGAGAGAAAAACAATTCCAATTAAGGATAAATATGATTAATCGTAGATCAGAATCGTTATCATTTTTAATGGCAATTACACTTGGATCTCCAACAATTTATTTCACAATTAACTAGATGATTTCCTTTTACGTTAATATAACCAATATAATCAATTCTTATTATCGATTAGCTTATACACTTGAAGGAAAAGACTCATTTCATGATATCTTTCATGGCGATTTCAAGTGTTGTTAATCTTGAAATCCAATCAATTGTATCGCTATTATCACTCACCTAAACGAGCATTAATACATTGTTACAATTAAGATTAGCAGATCAACTTTTGTCTACTTTATCTGAAGAAGTAGAAACTTTTTTCCCTACTGAAAATACCTCAACCATTGAATAGTTATCATGAATTATCCCCTGTAAACTGACATTCTGAACTTTTTATTTCTTTTTTTCTTTCATCTTATTAAAGTTATGATCGCATTAGAACATGTTTAGAACTCGAAGTGATTTGAAAAGACAAGTCAAAAACTATCGTAAGTTTGTGTCTTAAGTGTGTCAACTAATTGGACGTTTACGACGAGAAATATGATTATCTAAACAACAAGAAGAGAAAAATTTTCCATGAAATCGTTAAGAACTTTATTTTATTTTTCTATCTTTTTACATGTCAAATGAACTTAATTGTCGAATTAGAACTTTTTTTCGAATCAAATTAAAACTAAAATAAACCATCACAAGTCAACGATAAAATTGATATAAAAGTTTAACGCTGAAATGGGAGAATTGTGATTCAGAAAATCTCATTCTAATTCATGATAACATTTTAAAGTGAACAATTTTTCATTCATTTTCAATGTGTCTCATGAAAATAAATCCCTCATCATTTTCTCACAATCACCTTGATGATATAATCATTATAATCATCAGTATATATATAATTATAACCTTCATCATGAGTGGATGGGTTGAGATAATTTCATGATAACTAAATGCTATGAAAACCAACGATTACTCAGGAATTTAATATTTATCATTATCGTAAAGCTGAAGACATAAAATGAAAAAAAGTTTCACCTTACGAACCAATTGGTTAGTACCTTTTATCATCTCCATAATCACCGATCATCTTTATTGCCTCTTTTACCTCTTCCCAGTTTGTCCCAGTTTCTTATTATCTACTGAATACTGATCATCATTTCCTGTGTATTTTCATGAGAGTCTATAGATTTACGTGATACTCACAAGGGAAAATCAATATATATGATTCATCACATTCCAAAAGATGAACAAGTTCATGAAAATGATGAAATTTTCAGAATTTAATCCATTTTTTACCTCTCTTTATCTCTTTCTCTCTCACTTCCTTTTTCATATCTTCATCATGATAATAATTTAATAAGAAATTGAGATTTACTGAACATTATTACATGAATATAATTCATCTCTAAGGTGAACGATTCTAATCAGGGTAACCTGGTTGGAAAGAGAGCTTTTCAAAATCGAGTTACTTTAATTATTCATACAATTAATAAAATTAAATTGTAATCATACCTTTGAATTGAAATTGATGATCATCAAAACACAGGAAAAATAACAAAATGCTAACAAGGAATCAGAAAAGCTCGAGAAAAAGTTGTAAAAGTTTCGTTTGATATTAAATGAGAATAACAGTTTTTAGTTAATCGAAGTTTACAAAGTTCTAGTTTTATTTTAATTCGATAAAAAGAAATGATTATTATCGATAATCGACAAATTTACATGGAATTATTTTTAATCTCTGATCGTCAACAGAATTATTATTTTCGTAGTTTACATTCAATCGGATTTGTTTCACTTTTCAACTCAAATTTCATCACTAAATTTGCAGATGAAGATTGTTGGTAAATTTTTTGCTGATTGTTGCCAAAATTATCACAATAGTCACAATCTGAAGTGATGATGATGATTATGAGGATGATGCATATTGAAACAACATTGAATCTGAAAGAAACCCTTTTGTACCAATTGAAATAATTGGGGAAATTTTCAATTCGATGCCAACTTGGCTTTCGTATTCACATATTAATACATATTAGAATCGAGATGAGATATAAAAACAATTTAATAAGTTAAATATTTTCCCTCAAGTTAATTATGATTGCAAATTTTTACTGTAATTTGCAATTAGAAACATAGGTAACCTTAATTGTGACAATCGGTCAACAATTAACTTCCTAATGAAACAAGGTTGAATTTTACCAACACAAACTTCACTTTTGATTTCCATATGCAGACTGTTAATTGATGACAATTTACTGATTTAATTGTTACTTTGTTGGTTAATTAATTCGTTGATAATGTTGACAATTGATTGAAATGTAACAATGAATCTTAATCAAGAGTCAAGTCACAAATTCAGTTTAATTGGTAAGTTACAGTTTGATTTGAATTGTATTTAACTATTGTTGATTAATCTACATAAAAGACAATTGATTGTTGATCAAGTTAAGTTAACAATCAAATCAACTGATATAATGTCTGGAAAGTTAAGATTCATTGATTCATCATCTTTCATCAGGCTGGTTACTTTTGATTCCGATTCATGATTTCATGAGACGAATAAGAACTTTTTTTAATCAATATCTAATATAATTCCGGTCCACTGATTATTCAGAACAGTCAACACATTATATCAATCTAACATATAACTCAATTACACCGATATTGATATTATCATTAAATTCTGATGATCATGATGGTTCAACGATAATAATTCTGATTCTGATTGACATTTGAGTTTACATCTAAAAGTTGAATTCATTTGGTTTGGTTGATATTTCAAAGAGTTTCAAGATTTTTCACTTCAATATTTTCATAATTGATATTCCAATCGATTCCAACTTTGATTCATGAGATTCTGTATCTCTTATAATCTCATGATAACGATAATCATTTGGACTAATCTTTTATCCATTATGAATAGTATAATAATAATATCAAAGGTTAATTGTATTTCTTTTCATTTGAAACGTCTGAAAATTAACCAGAAATAGAAATATTAATAAATGAATCAAGAGAGAAAAGATTATCATGAATAGGAGATAATCTTTTAATTTAATGTTCGTAGTTCGGCTGGAAAATTATCTCTAATAATCTCAGGTAAAAGTTCAGAATCATTTCGTTTCTTTTTGTCGAAAAGTTTTATCGATTATTCATTTTATGGGGATAAACATGATGAATTCAGACTTGCTACTGAACAGAATCTAAATTGAATCAAGTTGCTAAAGGTATTTAGATGATATTATTGAATAGGATATTCATCAATAACATGATGATCTTCATGAAAGAAAAGTGAGTTACAATTATACTATTTAGAGTTAATTCAATTCGAGATTTGAACTCGAACATTGAATGTAACAATTTGTTCATTGGTTTTAGATTAAAAGTTTCTTAACCTCTTCATCATGATTATCACCACGAACGAATTAGTTGAAGGTATTGTTGAAGAAGAAAAGTTTCAAGAACAGAAAGAATTGGATATTGGAGTTCAGTTCGATTTCGAAAAACATTTATCGAGGTAGAATATAATTTCCCTAACGACTCGTTGGATATCTGAACGAATCATTATTTTATTCATTCTAATCATTGACATGCTATTCTCATGAAACATTTACGAAAAAATGTTTTCACTGAATGGAAATTCCGATCAAAACTCATGATGGGATAAAAAAAAGTTCAGTGAGCATTCATCTAGATGATATTCTGACAAAGATACTGTTGGTATCATTCCCAATATATCAAGATAAGAAATGACATTTTTAATAGTTTTCAGAGGAAAAACAAAATGATAAAACAGAAAAGCATGATGATTATCATGATAAAGTGCAGAAGCATGGAGATGATTATGAGTTGAATGTTAATATTGTCGTTGAATTGGGAATAGGTTTGTTTCATTTGATGATGTTGAGGTTTCATCATCATCATCATTATCGTTATTATCTTTGTAGGTAATCAAATGATGAAACAATAAGAAGATGATAGAAAACCAGAATTTTAAGTTGGAACTGAAAGTTTCTATCTGTTATTCAGAATCATCATCGAGAGTGAAAACTTGTAAACTTTCAAAGAGGAAAATAAATTTTACCAAATTGAAAATAACGATTGGATAGAAAAACAATTTTTTCTATCTGTTTTTGTTCATTCTCGTTTTAGTTACTCACTAACCAACAGAATCTGTGGCAATATTTACTTTATAAGAACTCGAGAAAATATAATTCCAAGTGAAAATATTGATATAGAAAAAAGTTCTAAACTTGGATTCTGTCAAAGATTGAAATTTATTTAATCATCGACTTTTCTAAAGAATCAAAGTTAATAGAGAAAAGTTTATTTTCGGATTTGTTTTTTTCTGCTCAGAGTTTTATCTGAAACTTATCAGAACTTTATTCAATTTTCATACGAATATAAATTAAACTAACTCATGACACTTGGAATTTATTGAATCTCCAGTAGAACCTCATGGAAATAATCATGTATTTTTAGATTTTTAATTGATTGTCTTTCCCTCTAATTATGTTCAAATTTATTACCAATAATTAACTCGCTTGTTAATTGATTTTGTTTCTCACCATGTTCACCATGTGAATTTCATTAGTCAAATGGAATTCAATTATTACAAGATTCATGATGTGTTCTCGTAATTATTGTTGATAATTGTTCATATTCTTGAAATAAAAGTATTTCTCTCTCTCTCTCTCTCTCTCTCTCTCTGGAATTGAGTTAATACAATTTGAAGGTCTACTACTTACGGTACTAATCACAACTGACGATTAATCTGAATTAACGGACTCGAAAAAAAAACAGCAAGGAAAGAAAAAAGTTCTGATATTTATGATGTTCGACTTGATATTTATATAAGTAGGTGGAAAACAAATTAACTAGAAAAAAAAGTTCC